AAAGGATCTGGTAGTCAGTGGTCATGAAGTCAGGGGTCAAAACTAAAAGAGATCCGTGGAAGTCTCCGGAAGACAGGCAGCAGGTGCAGAGGGTGTGGGGGAGGCCGAGGGATCAGAAAGGATGAGCCTGGCCAAGGGGGTCCAGGGGTAGAGGGGGGCAGAGCGCTGGTGTCACCTGGAGTAGGAGGACGGAGGCCGCCCCCGCAGCTGGTCAATCTCCATCTGCATTCGCTCCATCTCCGCCAGGAGCTGCTCCTGTGGGGACGGGTCAGAGGGGCCAGGTCAGCGTGTGGCCAAGGCACAGCCCTCCCAGCTGGTTCCGACCCAGCAGCGCCTGCCATGGCCCGGGCCTCCCGCCAGGACCCGCATACTTTGTTGAGCAGCAGCTCATCCTGCAGTTTCTTCATGTTGGCAATCTCCTCACTCAGTGAGTTCTGTGGGGGACAGGGGTGCAGTGAGGTGGGGGGAGCCTGAAACGGACATGCTCTGGGGGCCTGAGAGGAGCCCCATGAATGAGCTGTGCATGAATGGTGAGCTGGAGCACATAGGGGTTGTGGGTCCAAAGATGCAGCGGGGTAGGGGATCCCGTTCCTGGGAGCCCCAGAATTCCTGTGTAATCAGAGGATTCAGTTTGAGGGTCCCTAGGATAAGTGGCTTGGGGGAAGCCAAGAACTCAGGGTACAGGTGCCCCAGAATTCAGCTCTTGGGGGTTTAGGTGAAACAGTGGTCCCTGCATTACGGCAGAGAAGTCTGTCGGATGCGGGAGGCCCAGGTTTAGGGGGATCTCAGATAATGGGTCTGGGGGAACGATCCGTGGACCAGGGATTTGGGCAAGAGGTGGCCCAGGATGCAGGGCTATCGGAGTGCTGGCTTGGGCTGCACCTTCTCCTCCAGCGCCCCCATCCGCTCCTTGAGGTGCAGCTGTAGCCGTTCGTTGGACTCGCTCAGCAGTTTGTCCACTGTCTCGGACAGCCGCTTATTGTGGTCATCGTTCATCTTCTCCCGCTGCCTGGCCTGCCGC